ATAGTAGACACAGTTTTACCTAACATTCTAAACTTTAAAATAATTTATAAACTATTACAATTTAGGAATTAATTTTTGTTATCTTTTTGAGACAGGGTCTCCCTGTAGTCTCAGCTGATGTGAAATTGCTATGAATTTGCATTATTTCTATCCCTCTAGAAGCCCCTTAACTCCTCCACATGTCTAGTCCACTCCCTTACAATTTCTTGTCCTCTTTGTTGATTTTTATTGTTTCACATACATATATTTATGTATGTTTGTAGATAGATAGATGATCGATAGATAATGCAGAGTCAATTTACTGGTACTTGTGCGAGTATACATGTGTTTAGGGCTGCCTACTTAATATTAGATAACCTCTCAATGAGCCAGTCTTAGAGAAAATTGATTTTTCGGTCCATCAGCATCCACTGATTGCCTGTAGCTCTTTATCTTGTGGTGGGACCGCATAAAGTTTTCTCCACCTAAATTGGCATGTGAACTGGTTTTGTCATCATGCAGATCTTGTTAGGTTACCAGGCTGTGGAGATGTCATTGGTGTAGCATCCCTATCATGTCTAGAATACATTAATTAGCTGTAGGTGTCTTGTCCCTGTGCTTCTTACGGCCTGTTTCCCCCTGAAAACTTTTATGACGTTCCCTAAGTCTTTGGTATAGAAGCTGCATTGTAGATCTATCACTTAGGGCTAGGGACCTCACAGTCACTTATGTTTTGCATTTCACTAGTTGTAGAACTTTTTAATAGTCTATCCTTTGCAAAAAGAAGATTCTTTGATTAGTGGTGAGAGCTACACTTGTCTGTGAATATAAGTATTTAGAATACAGAAAGAAATTATGTTGATCTAGGGAAATGACAGAAAAAGGTTCTCTTTCTAGGGTCTATGACCTCTCCAGCTATGTGTTCTGGGCTATGTCTACAGTACCATGCATGGACTTCTTCCTATCGAGTGGGCCTTATGTATAATTGCACAGCTGTTGATTATCCCCAAGATAAAAGTGCCATCATTGAACCAATAGACATAACTTGCTGGGCTGGACATTGCTGTGATTTTAGGTGCTACAGCTGGGTAGGAACACTGATTTTTCTCCCTTGGCAGCTTGCATAGTATCTTCTCACACCTTGAGAGCTAGTTTTCAAAGAGGAGGCTTCCAGGTCAGTTTTAGCTCCAATGTCCAAAGTACATTGTATCTTCAGCAATAGGGTCTGTCCTTCAAGTTCTTGGAGTTATTCAAGGGCTTTGTCAATATCCTGTTTTCCTTGTTATTTCACTTTGGGAGATATCTTTATCTTCTCTTGTGATTACCTTTTTATTTTGAAGATTGTGAAGATTTATCTTTTGAACAGCATGCTTTAGGTACTTTTTAACTATATGATCACTTTTATAAAAATAAAATATTAAAAATTTATTTCCCAACTAAGTTTTCTTAAGTGGATATGTTGTCCAGTCTCTACATTTTAACTTCTCTCATGGTTTCGCATCTCAAACTTAGCATAGTAGTGATCTTACCTTGTCATGCCTAAGTTAGCCTTTATAACTATTATTTTCTGTTTTTTCATTAACACTTATTCTACAGCAAGTATAGGTCAACTGCAAAATTGATCAGTAAGAACAGAATCCAATGTCCTCCATCCCTGACATGCCAACTTCCCTGTTGTAAACTCCTACACCAGAGTCCTGTTGTTACAATCAGTAAACCTACACTGACATATTATTGTCACCTAAAGACCATATTTCACATTGGGGTTTTCTTTGGTAATGTACATTCTGTGACTTTTTGGACCAGTGCATAATGATATTTATCCTCATTGGTGTATTCAGAATAGTTTCACTGCACTCAGGGTGCGTGCTCTGCTTGTCTTCCTCCCCTAGCCTTGAGCCTAAGAGAACCAGCCTCTTAATGAGCTCTTTCCATAGTTTCACATTTCCAAGAGGACATATATTGGAATAAAACTGTAGGTGGCCTTTTATATTGGCTTCATTCAGTTAATAACATAAATGAGTATTTTCTCCATGCTTGACTTCATAGGTCACATCTTTTCAGCATTCAGTACTCTCCTCTTCTAGCCCATTTTTCTGCCCATCTACTGAATGACATTTTGAGTGTTTTCCAACTTTGCCAACTATGAATAAAGTGGCTCTCAGCATCTATGTGTACATTTCGGTGTGAACTTATATTACTAATTCATTTGTGTAAATCCCAGGAATTATTTCTGGATTGTACACTGAGAATATCTTTAGTCTCATGACTGTGCTCCGAAACACCTGCATCCATCTGAGAAATGAAATGGAATTCTGTGACTCTGCACCATTGCCTATTTTAGTGATAACTATTGCTTTGTGTTTGAACCATTCTCAAAGGTTTGTACTGATAACTTGCTATATTAATGTATAAATTTTCAGCTCCCTTATGTTTTTAACATAGCACCTCTTCTATATATCTGTCATCTGTAAACCTCCTTTATTGAGGCATCTGTTCATTTCTTTGATAATTTTAAAATTAATTGTAGTCTTATACTTTTTATTTTTGTTTGTATATTTTGAATAGCAGCCCGTTATCATATACATATTTTTCAAATATTTTCCCTACTCTTTGTCTTGTTTTCTTGATGTGGTCTTTCACTGGGAACTTTTTGTTTTTATTATTTATTTATTTACTTAGTTTGATACAGGTTCTTCCTGTAGCCCCAGCTGGCTTGGAACTCTCTGTATAGACCAGGCTGGCCTTGGTTTCACAGAGTTCTACCTGCCTCTGCCTCCCAAGTTCTGGGGTTAAAGGTATGCATCATCATGCCTGGCACTGAGGTTTTTATTTTAATTATGCCCAGCATACCTGTTGTTTCTCTTATGACAGACCTTTGATGTATGATCTAAAATGCTGTCACCACACTGTAACTTACGTGTTTCTCTGTGACCCTCTAGATATTTTATAGGTTTTCATTTTTCACGTGTGTTCATAGTTCATTTTGGATTAATATTTTGCGAGAGTTATAAAATCTGCTTAGATTCATTTTTTGTGCGGATATCTATGTCTTTGCTCCATTTGGTATGTTTGCTCTTTTGGCAAAGATTGGGTGATTATATTAATGTGGGTCTTTTTAGCTCTCTCTCCTATTCTACTAATTAACATGCCTTTTATAAACCTGTCCATACTGTCTTGATTGCTGTAGCTTCTTATTTAGTCTGAAAACAAGATGGTGTCTGCTCTCTGCTATTTGTTTTTTCTTCCACTGTGTTCTCTTAGGCATTCTGGGTTTTCTGTCTCTCTATATAAACTTCTGAATTGGTCTGTTAATCCATGAACTACCTTCTTTCTGGCTGAAATTGCGTTGAATCAGCTTAGGAAGGACTGACACCTTGAGAACATTGAGTCTTTCTATTCATGAATGTGTCACATCTCACCATTTATATTCGTCTTTGGTATTTTTCATCAGTATCTTATAGGTTTTCTCTAAGAATCCATTTCTTTAACTAAGGGTTTTAATTGTTCAAGACGTCCACTATTCCACTGTGGCCATCAGCTGCCTTGCAAAAAGAGGCTGACAAGCTTCCTGGAAAAGGTTTGGGCAAGTTCTTTTTAACATCTGGCCTTGACATAGAGCTCCTGCTGTCTGACCTTTTTTTTAATGCCTTTTGTATTAGAAATTGATTCCATTTGTTAAATCTCATCTCAAAAGGTTTGTTATTTTAATTCTTAGCAAAATTCAGTAGAATATATAATTTTAGATGATTCAGATTATGAAAAATAGGACCATCTACCCTGTGTTTTCACCCTCCTTACACTATATTTTAGTGAGAGACTTCAGCAAACAAAATACACCTTTTTCAAACATGATATCCTTTTTGTATATTTTTATTGAATTTTTGTGTATTTCATATGGAACGTCTTGCTCATCTATATACCCCTTTCCCATTGGCACCCTCTCGTAGTCCTCCCCTGGATTTCATGCATTCTGTCATTTGTGTTAAGGCCTGTCGAGTCATGTTAGCGTCCCCAGTTCCTAAGTACAAGTTCATCCACTGGGGTCTAGCCACCCTATCTAGAGTCCCACCCTTTAAGATCAGTTTTTCCTCATCAGTCGGTAATCAGCTGCCAATAGTTCCTAGCTAAGATTGGTGCCTGATGCCCATTTACACAGGTCTATGCTGGGTTTTTACCTGAGTTTGTATTGGTCTTTTGCATGCTGACACCAAATTGTAAGACCCAGGGGAGGAGGAGGATGACCATATGGAATTAGAGTCTTACAGGCCCCTGACCTTGCTCATATGAACCTATAGCAAAACATATTACCTTCATGATCGTCTAACACCTCTGGCTTTTACAAGGAAACAGAATTTTCCAAACACCTAGGTGGTTACTCATATGAGCTCTCAGCAATGGTTACAACATGCAAGAGTATCATGTAAACTCAAGGCAGAGTTAAAATTCCAGCATAGATGTGGGGAAATGAGTAAGAAAACTCAGCTTTGTGTGAGGAACTATACATGACTGCTGGGAAGGAGAGTCGGTCTCTTTTAACAGTAAGACCCTTGGCAGGCTAACCAGACTTCAGTGAATGGATTTCTAATGAAGGGTGTCTGGTAACAGAGATTTGACACTATAGACTTCAGTATGTAAATATAGGGCATGAAATTGGGTGAAGCGTAGTAGGGGGGGATTCAGATAGGGGAGGGGATCTGAACTCAATCAAAATATATTGTATGAAATTTGCAAAAAAAATCAATTAAAAAGAATAAAATATTGTCAAGGAGCCAAAAAAGTCTACAATAATGGGAAAATGTTTTCTTTCTAAAATAATGTTTTTCAGATAATTCTAATAAGAGCAGCCTTTTAAATATTTCAAATATCATTCTTTGTAAGTTAAATCTTAAAAATTTCTCTGCAAAATCAGTTACATTTTCTAAGACATATGCTCTAGGTTTATTTATGTGACACACATATGATTATTTTAAAACATAAACCCTTACCAAGTTTCTTAATTTTTGTTCTGTTTCCAATAGGAATTCTCTACTTAAAGTGTTGCCTGCTCTAAGAATCCTCAATGGTGACGTGCTGAACTCTTCCTCAGACATCCATATTGAACAACACTATGAAGACCTACACTGCTTCTTGGCGCTTTGTCAGTCTCAGATTCAAGAATTCACCTCACTAACTGAAAAGTTTACCACTCAAGAAGGGTAAGATTTTTTTTCTTTTTTCTCTCATGAGTTTAAAATAAATGATAAACTGTATGTACTCAAAATAAATGATATTCACAAATCAATAAAATTATTTTGATTCTTACAATGATATTAATTTTGGTTCAAAACAGTGTCTCTGGGAGATTTTCTCCCTTTGAAAATATTCTGGAATATATATATGTGTGTGTGTGTCTGTGTGTGTGTGTGACAATATGTATTTTGAAAAGTTACCAAATAATCATGCATATATTTATTCAAAAATTATTTTAGACAAGATTATTTATCCTCAAAGAATTCAGAGTTAAAAGGGAGTAAAGAACACTTTAAAACATACATATTATATATCAAAGTATCATATTACATATATGTTATATTTACACTATTAAGGCACCATGGAATCACAGTGGACAAAGGCAGTCAGAGCTTGCATGTGCTGGGATGACAAAAACTGGGAGGTAACATAATACGTTATTGAACAATGACAACTTCCTTTTCATCACTTTGAATTTTGAATGCATTATAATGAATAAATGTTAATGATTTTCCCATAGCTGAATTTTTAAATTTTCATTGCTCCAGAAAATATTAATAAAAAGTAAAATAGTTTTTCATTTTTTAACCTATGGTTGCCCTATTATAGCTAGAAAAATAGTATGTATTTCCTCATGTTTAAAGATAAATGGATTGCCGTAGATGAGGAACAGCTGACCCTCCTGGAACAGGGACCTCTGGCTGAACTAGATTTACCAGAAGGGCAGACAGGGGGAATGGATGAGGGTGCTGACAACACAGTGGACAGTGACAGGGATGGCAGAGTATG